CGATTGTAGGTTTTGAGCCCATACTGGATCGGGAAGCTCTTAATTCTCATTACAAGCTGCCACTTTTAATGCATTCCCCTACAGATGACTTCTCACCGCGGCGAGCCGGGTTGCGGCAATTGCTCATACGGGGACTGGTTCATGCCAGGTACAAACTTTCCTAATTTTTGTTGAAAATCCCGAGAATATCGATGTTAAGATAAAAATGGCCAATTTTTCGTCGAAATTTCCGCCCAAAATTTTGTTGGGTTTTTTGCTAGTTTAGCTAGCCCAACATAGTTAGATTTTACTAAAAATACCAATAAAATACGACCTATTATGGCCCGCTAGCCTGATCTATTTTCAGGTTACACAGCCTCGAGCAGCAAGCAGTACGAGGCCTTCATCTGCAAGACACGCCCCTGGGAACATTGAGAAAAATTACTGAATCTTTTTAATAAATAATAATTACTCGTGAAAATCACCGTGAAAAACAAAGTATATACAAATTCCATGCTGTCGAAACGAGATCCGATTAAAGGGGACCGAGGAACCGTTTGCTGGTCCAAATTATTGCACTAGAAAACGGCCCGGTCCCCACGGGGTTTTGATAACGAGCCAGCTACACCCCAATTCACTACTTTCTTGCAGCGATAATGTCGGAAAATACAGCGGTCATTGTTGGTTAGTTGTGAGAAGTTATATACTGACTACTAAATCGTATTTTGAAACCTAAACGCCATTCCATTCCCTAATCAAAAGGCACGTATAGGGAAATGGCTATGTAACTCTCCTATGCACGCTCAACGGTCCACGGACGGTGTAATTCGTTTTTCCACGCTGAAAAACGCGCATTTTTTAAAATAGATCCGCAAAGCACGGCGGTTCGGAAAAATATTCAAGAGGTGTATTTTTCTGCTATTAGAAACCGCAGCTGAAGCGTCACCAGCCGATGCCATCGAGGTGGTGAAGCTTTGTGGCGAATGTTCGCTTGATCGAGCATTGGAACGTCTTTTTCGATGCACCGAGTGCGACCTGGTAAAGTATACCTTTGTTACTTATAACTTTATTGATTTTATTTTGGCATTGACCTAATCTCTGAGCTAAATTTATACCAGATATTATGTGGGGTTTGCGCCGTCCGAAAACATCGCACGCACGAGCTGCTCGAGATGCTCGGCCTCGAACTCGGCCAACTAGTCGAAACCCATCGAAAACCCATCACAGAAAATATCACGGGCCTAGCAGCAAATATTGAGCATCTTCATATCGAAATTAAGGTTAGGTTTACCTTACCTAGATATACAGGGTGGCGATTAATTACCTGCGCGAGAGAAAACGCTCGCTCCGAATTTTCCTTAAAGCAATCTCTGATCGCTCTGCATTTTATGATATCACAAGCTATCTAATACTTAATGTACAGAAAAAATTTGGGTCAGTGGCCCTCAACTTTTTTCCAACCCGAAAAATGTCGTCGAGCAAAAAAGCGCGCGCGCCGCGGGTATGTACCGATCAAAAGACCCGATATTTTTTCAGTTTGATAGGTAGTGCCCTCAAATTATTGTTAGTTCGATGCCTCCGATTACCCTCCAGATGCTCAAATCCATTAAAAGGATTTTTATGGAGCCCTAGCCCTACCAAATAACAAAATTTCTACGACCAATTTCCGCCTGGAGCCAAATCGGCCAGAATGAGACACCTCAAAAATAAAAAGATTGTTCGGGAAAGTGCAATTTCGTTGATGTAGCCCTCTTCTTATTGGTTTGATAGGACGCATTGTTAAATTGAGGCCGGTTCTGAAGAATTTTGGGAAAGTTCTGGGCCAAAAATGATGCCATCAATTCAGCCCGCGGCGCGCCTCAAAAATCGTCAGCAATTTCTAGCATTTTTGGATTCTAGTTTCCTGATAAAGCCTTATGAACCCAAGAACTTTTGGCATATTGTTGTTGTAAGGATTGTACATATTTTCTCATATCGTACCGATAGATTCACGCGTAATATCGAAAGAACGCGCGGTTTTTATTTCTATTTGACCGATGTCGTTCTCGATACTGTATCTTTTTTTATCTTTTGACATAGGTCGGTTTTCGAACGCTTACTAGGTTTGAAAAGAAGCGTGCAACATATCTGAGCCGTTTTATAAAAGATTAGCTACCTCCCATGGCTACAGTAGGCTTCAAAAGTGTGGCCATGCGAACAGGATGCGCGTTGTGAAGCCGGAATTTATGCTTCTTAGCTCGTAGTTTTTCGTGATTGCTTAACCCGGTTAAAATTTGGATAGGATGCAACTAAACAACCACCAATATAGTAAAACCACTCTACCAAAGAAAATTTAAAGCCTGATTCTTGGGGTAAAAGCGACGCGCAGGTAATTAATCGCCACCCTGTAGTAATCTTCTAAAACCTTCAAGTTTCATCTAGGAGCGCACCGCGAAGCTGGTCGCCGCCTGCTCGGAGAAGTTGACCGAGGTCGACAAGCAGCAAACGTTTGCCGACGGGAAAGCCATCTTCGATGAGGTGCGGCTGACCAGAACTGCTTTTGAGAATCTGTGTGACGCGTATTTTCCGGCCGTCCGTCTGTACAACGATGAGCTTATCCTGCTGCGCGAGAGGCTGGAGGCGTACAAGTCGAATGCTCCAACTCCGGCAGATGATATTCCAGCGACGAAGGAATAAATGTTTTAGTTCTTTAGTAATTTATATAATAATATTTAATTTATATAAATTCTTTTATTTTATAGCGTTTTTCGTAGAATTTAACTCTACTTAAAGTAAAAAACAATCATAAAGATACTATGGAAATTTTTTTAGTTGAAATTTTAGCCGTTAAAATTACAAGAACCCCCACCAGCAGGAAAAGGCCATCTTTGATCAAAAAAATCAATTTTTTTGGATTTTTTTAATAAAATTTCTTAATAAAGTCTCCTCCCCGCTAATGCGAAAGAAATAATATTATTTTAAATGGTTAAGATCGTTAAAATAGGCCACGCAGCCGGTTTTCGCGTAAGGAGCTGGCTATACGTATCTGTACTACGCCGAAATTGATGGGTGACCTGCCCCAGCTGGTGTATTTTCTGTTGCAAAAGTATTGGTGAGTCACAAGCGAGCTTGTTACCGCCTCATTCTCACAAAAAACAGGTCACTCGCCCCCTTAATTCGTTTGTTTTACCCATCAAATAGTTTTATAGCGTTATCGTTTCCGGATTTGCCGATTCTAAAAAATTATCAATACATTTTTTAAGCGCGGAAAATAAGTCGCAGCTACTTTTTTTCTGCTTTGTTTTCTCGCTTCTTTCATACGCAAAAAAGCGTTGGCGCTAATTTTATAAATTTATGAGCTTCGTTACACCCTAATAACTTTCAGAAATAAACTAAAACACACCCGTTTTCAGAGCGATGGGGCAAAAGCTCTCTTTCCTGCATTGCGAAACCTGCTCGACGCCATTCAGCCCCGAGATAACCAGCACAAATACGCCAATACTCGGCCAAAACGGCGCTATAAGCTGCAGCAGCTGTATCGATGAGGCACCAGGAAATGCTCCAGCCCAATTTATCATCGATCTGCTCAATTCGAACGCCGTACGGTTGAAAGCCACGAAATGGATCGCGAAATCTCATCTCCCGCCGTTGACTTGCCGTAGCTGCGAGGCCGTCGATTTGTTGATGATTCTGGGTAGGTTATGAAACCATAAACTCAACTAATTTTCTATAGTTCCGAGGTTAACTTAGTTTGAGTTTTTTAGTTTGAGTTTTTCAGGAAAGCAAACCTTATGAAAATCCATGAAAAAATAAAAAAATCTAGATTTTTCTCAAAACTTTAAAATTTTTGAACGGCTTCCGAAGTTTTATAATAGTGTTTCCGGCAAATAAAGCTAGGTTTTGGCTAAAAATAGTTAGTTTAGTTTGACAACCAAAAAAAGGGAAAAAATTACTACAGCATACCTTCTAGAGTGCGGCCACGTCAACTGCGAGCGCTGCCGGCGCCTCTGTCCCAATTGTGGAATTCGTGGCCGTGCGAATCCTTACAGTGATGTCGCAAAATTCTATCAAGAATACTTTACATTCACGAAAAAAGGGTCGAAGAATACACCGCAAACCCCAGAAACAACCAGGCGTACCTGCTCGGCTTGTGGCCAGGAAGATTGGCTCGCCGAAATGCTTTACTGCACCAAATGTGCAGAAAGTCTATGCGGATTTTGTGTCATATTCCTCCATAAGGACCACGAACCTATCGACAGGCTAGTCGAAGTAGAGACCCGAAATTCAGCCAAGAAATTCACCAGACTTGAACGAATCCGGAAAAGCTTCGGCCGGTCAAAGTCGCCAAAACCGAATTTAGGCCCAAGTACAGCAGAAATAGTAGCCCAAGAAGCCACGACCGCTCCTGAAATCGAAATCACGTATCGGCGTTGTAAAAAGTGTCAAAAGGAAGCGGATATAGATTACTGCTTCCAGTGCACCGGCTGCAAGGAAGGTCTTTGTGGCGCGTGCACAGCGCTTGGGCATCGAGAGCACCAAGTCGCCCGGTTGTTCCAATATGAGCTGGAGGTGATGGCGCTTCGAACACGGGCGTATCTAGATGGACACTATGAGGGATTGGCGAGAAACATCCACGGTGTCCATTCGTACCTTGACGAGACAATCGCCAACTTAATAAAATCAAACCAACGCGCGATGGCCATTGTCGACACAACAGATCGATATTCCATAGGGGCAAAGGTGAACAACTCGATCCTCAGCACCGCCACGGATTTCGAGAGCCAACTGGAGGCCTATCTGCGTACCGTCCGAATCTTCAATGAAGAGCTCCAGAGGATGGGCGAGCAGCTACAGCAGGCAATACCTCAATAAATAGCTAAAAACACCTCCATGCACTCTTGTTACTTTATCCATTCATTCACATAGACATAGGTTAGCAAAAAACATACACATACAAGCAATTCCACCGAAAGACAAAGCGGTGCAAGACAAATTGTACAGAAAATGAAAAATGGGAAGTGGTTATGGAGGTGGGTTCTTCAGGCTATGACGCAGCTGTCGCCCCCGAGAAGCGCCTTCGCCCGTCCGGTGCGCTTTTTCGGCAACCTGAATAGAAAACAGTGATCAGTAAATATAGAATCTTCGTTATGTTTCCTATAATCCATGCCTCGTCCTTCTATTTATCCGTCCCTGGACTCGTAATTTTTTTCCTGGCAGCCCCGGTTGGCATAGTAATCAAAAATAAAGTATTTTTACTTCTTTTTAACACGTTCTAACTAGGTTTAAAACAGAAAAACTTTTTAACAGTTAGAAAAATGTTGTAAAAGTCGGAAATTGCTCATTTTGGGTCGACAAAACTTTTTCGGCCTAAAATTAATTTTAAATTAAAAATTTGTACAATTTTTATGCTAAGAATTAGCTAAAAACAATGTCGAAACGCCTCCGCTATTTATAAAAAAAACTAGGCTTGCGCCGAAAAAGGTTGGGTTTTAGAGCAACTACGGTAATCGAAATATCAATAAAAAAAACCACGTACTCCTCGTTCCGGCAGTCATGTTCGTCGGGTACTTGATGGGGCACACAAACCGGTTTCTGGCACGACTTGCACGTCACCACCGCAAACTGGAAACAACAATGAAATAAATTGTTAGGGCGCTAAATCTCACCCCAGACTTCGTGCAGTCGGGGACGCTGCACCGGGGTCCTCTTGCCCCCGCCCATTCCATGTACCGCTCCTTTTCGGGCTTGCACAACGGGCACGGTGGGTTGTTGGCCTTGTCTCGCGTCTTTTCGCTCGCATCCGCGATGCTTGCTGTTGACTGGCGGCAGAGTGGACACATCGGTTTCTTCTTGAACTAAAAAGAAGATCATTGGTAAGAGACACGAATCGTTTAGAAAGCCCAAAAATGCCCAGTAACGTCATAGCAAGTGTTTTATGAGTGTGAGCTACTTTTTGTTAAATCTACAGTTCAACCCATCTCCGTTTTTGACGCAATATAACACTCCTACAAGATTTTTTTAGGAAAAATTTTGCACGAAAACAGGCCAGCGTTAGTAGGGAAATAAAATTTTGCCTGCTCACATAAAAATTTAGTTTTTACGCTTAGGAATAGAAAAGATAGACTCAGATAAAGCACGATTTTTCCCCTTCACGATAATGCAAAAGGACCCAATTTCAAAAACGAATGCTCGCCCAGTCTATCCCAAAAACAACACGAGTCGACGCGCTGTGGGGGAGGTGGTAAAATAAAATTTGGTCAGATAGGGCTGCTCTCGATTCTCGGATATACACACCAGCAGTCCAGACGCACAAAATTTTAATGCAAAAGTGCGTTACGGTTCACAATGCTCATTCAAACCCGATTACCTGATACAGAGGGTCGGCCGCCGACTTCGAGGCGCAAGCGTGGTACATTGCGGGGCATGGGTTTCACACAGGCATTTGCCACAGTCACCGCAGTAGAACGCCAAGAAATCTAAATCTCAGTTGAAGGCGAAATGTCTGTCGCCCACTGTGTTTCCAACAGCTCACTTGTTGACAGAAATCGGCTCTGAATGAGGAATCACCGCCAGCTCCCACATTGACTTTGAACATGTAGACGTGAGCCTGTAATGGAAACACCGCGGATTGGGCAAAAGCACCGATTTCAGGTTCTTTCGAATTATCGGAGGCGGAAACAACCGCTTTCTAAAGTATGCGTTGTAACGCATAAGTGTTTTATTAGTACTTTTAGTAACAATCAACTACATTTTCAGTAACCAAACTAAAACTTCAAAAAGCTGCGAAAAGTTTTTAAGTGAAATTCTGATCAAAAACCGTCGAGTGCTAGACGAAAAATCTATATTTTTGTAGTTTTAATTAGCATTTTCGAGGTTTCACGAAATGCAAAAAAACTTTCCTCAACGCACATTAGAAAAATAGGTTTCTGCCTCCCAGACAATGCAAAAGAACCCGATTTCAAAAACGAATGCTCGCCAAGTCTATACGAAACACTAGCTGGTCAATTTCGTCCGCGTTACATACATAAAAACAACCACACAAAAAACTTTAATTACAACGACCGGGAGTTGGGCATACGCAGAAAATGTAAGAACATAAAAATCGTGATTGGGGGTCAAATCGGGGACAACAAAAGAAATCGTGTGAAAGACCTGGGTAAATATAAAACTAACGTGGCTATTACATTAACTAGGGCTAATTAATCAAAGGCTTTCGGGCATTATGGCGCTTTCGTTTCGTCTTCGCTTGACGAATCGTCGCTGGAAGAGTCCGACGAGCTGGAGCTGCTGCTGCATGGCGTGTGTTGCACGGATTCGTAAGCGTCAAGCTTGTTGAGGTAGTCGTGGATCGCGTGCACCGTAGCTGGCTTCATCTTGTGAAAGTCCATTTCGAACCCTTCGGTCAGTCTCAGCTCGTCCTGAAAATAAGATAGTGACGCTAAACTGATCGATAAATAGAAATGGCCACTTAGATTGAGACAACGGCCCAGTCGGCAAAATTATACAAAGACATTAAAAAAATCCGGACCATTTCCTCGCCGATTCGAATCAGCTTTGCCACTTCGACCAGTTGCACATCGGCAAGAGTGGTAATTCTCTCTACGATCCAATTCAGTTCCTCCACAGTCAGCGACGTGACTTCCGATCCGTTCGAGGAGACAACCTACAGAAACATGAAAGAAATTAAAGATAGCTTACCTCATGGGCTGGCTTCTACGACTCTTTGGCGTCGTAGCAGCACTAGCTGGAGCATTGCCGAGAAATTCATCAAGGCGCTTTCTCAAATCCGAGGGCATTTCCTTGTTCCTCTCGGCCAGGGCATTCAGTTCTTCGCGGAATTTTGTGGCTCTGTAGAGCCAGTTGCGCCTGATGTCGTCTTCCCTTGACAGTCGGTCGAGGCACTCTTGAACCGAAAGACCGCCCAGACGAGGTTTCTGAAAAAAAAGAAATTGAAAAATTTAAAAAATTACCTTGGGCTTCGATCTTGGCTTGCCATCTTCAAAGTATCTGTCCCACTCCTTCTCGACAAACTTCCAAAGCTGCTCGCCACACACGTAGACCACATCGCCCGGCCGGTTGAATGCCCAACAGTTTTCGCACATGAGCTTGAGATCGTCATGGAACTCCTCTGCGTTGATGTATTGCCTAAAAACACAATAATTGACAAAAAAAACCAAAAGCATACTTGTACGACAGCTTCTGGCGTATAGTGCTCAAGTCCATTGGGTGCGTGACGATGTCGAAGTAAGTCGGGATCTTTAGCGCGACCGGGTCGACGGGCTCGTAGAACGGCCAAGCAAATGTCTAAAATTGAATTTAACCGCAAATAAAAATCCGTACATTGCATTTGCGCTCCAGAAGCGAATCGAGGAGACGCTGACAGGATATCAGCTCCAACGGCACTTTCCCCTCGAAACACGGCGGCATTTTCTCATAGTTGAGCGAGCTGCGATGACCGCGTTTGCGCTTCGGCTAAAAAATAGGCTTGGAAAGGGAATAGATTGGCATACCAGTCGAACTTCACTCCCGGAAGTCGAGGGCGAGGCCACCGAGCTGGGCGTCATCGACGAGGCGCTGGTGGAAGTAGCGGCGTACACTGGGCTTGCCTGCATTATCGTTGCACTTCACGAGGCAGCAGAGCAGCCTGAAAACAGTAATTGAAATCAGGAAGATAAATCAGGACGCAACAAATGAAAGGCTGAACGGTTTGAACAGGGTTTCAGAAAGGGGATAGAAGCCAAAATAACGCAAATTCACCGAGTTTTTTGCAAATTGGCCCGGCTGACCGAAGAAAGCTAAGTATGAATTGTCAAAAAAAAACGAATTTACAAGCATTGCAAGTGTTTTCTGTTTTCCATAATTTTTCAAATTTTGCCGAAATCCGGAAATTCAGAAAAAACCCCGAGCAGGAATTCCACCGTATGCGCGGACTGCACCGGAATCCGTTGTCGATAGGAGCCTCGTGTAGTCCCATCAAACCCAAAAAATCGGAGAAGCTCGAAAAAGTTGCTTTTTCGCTATAAAATCGTGGAGTTTTTCGCCATCTTGAAACTGCAACCCCTGCAACTTTTTTCTAGTCGATTTGGCACCTTTTTCAGCCCCTTTTCTATACTTTGATAATCGACTTTCGTCGGGTTTTTGTTGTTTAGATTTAATTGATTTTCCAGACTTGATGTATGTTGATTTATTTACTTCCAGGTGTATTGTTCAAGTGAAAGGGACATTTGGTACTATTCAAGTTCGGGGGGCAAAATTTTTTTGGTTCATTTTCGGTCATTCTTCGGCTTGATTTACCTTTATGGTCCTCGCCCGAAAAGTGTTTTTTCGGGTCGGAATCGATCTAGAAATGATCAAAATGTAGTTTTCAGTGAAAAAAATGCGCCGGAAAGAAGTTTTTGAGGGCTAAAAAGAACTTTTTTGCTAAAATTCGGGGACCATAAAAGGGGGTACGGGGGTATGTCGTTTATGGTCCTCGGCTAAAATCCATTTTTTCTTGTCGGAAACAATCCCGAAATGTTCAAAATATCGTTTGCAGTTCAAAAAAAGCGCCGGAAAGACCTTTTTAGCTGGAAAAATTATTTTGGTACAAAAATTCATTCAGCCCAGTTTTAGCCTAAAAATAAGGCTTCGTGCCACCCGGGGCCTAGTCGCTTCGGATGGGCGCGAGCTCGTACAGTGTTTCGAAATCGGGGCGCCCGAGCAGCGCGAAGCGCCCAGGCGCTCCGATTTCGGAAGAGTGGAGCGGCAGCCCATCCGAAGCGACGGCCCGCCTTGCCTGACAATGCTACGTGCCGCACCTTGTTCAGAAGCCTTAGGCGACCACGAACATCTTTCCGGCACTTTTTTTCGAAGCATTATGAATTTCCAACAATTATCTATTGATTTGGTAAAAGAAAAAACACTTTTCGGGTGAGGACCATAAATGACATACCCCCGTACCCCCTTTTATGGTCCTCGAATTTTTAGCAATATAAGTCGTTTTAGCCATTAAATCCTTCTTTCCGGCGCTTTTTTTGAACTGCAAACGATATTTTGAACATTTCAGGATTGTTTCCGACAAGAAAAAATGGATTTTAGCCGAGGACCATAAACGACATCCCCCGTACCCCCTTTTATGGTCCCCGAATTTTGGCAAAAAAGTTCTTTTTAGCCCTCAAAAACTTCTTTCCGGCGCATTTTTTTCACTGAAAACTACATTTTGATCATTTCTAAATCGATTCCGACCCGAAAAAAACACTTTTCGGGCGAGGACCATAAAAGCAAATTTTCCCCATTCTTCTTACAAGGGAACCTCACGCGGACAGGGTGGAATTTCGAAAAACGCTCGCGGCTACCCCTAGGTAATCGACCATTGCGATCACGATGCGCTTGTCAGATTTTTCTGAATGCACCTGTGGACAGAGATACAGCACTTCCGGAAAATGATGATTTGCATGCGAAAAATTAGCATTGCGGGATGGTTTATTAGGCTCTCCCATCACTATGGAATCACCAGTTGAATGGCCGAGTGGTAAGCAACTCGCTTGTTAGGATACTGACGAGGGTTCGGATCCGCTCACGATTTTTTATTTTTGCTTTTTTGGCCAGAGATTTTTGAACAAGTCCAGAACCTCACCAAAATTGATGAAACCCCCATACTTTAACCAGGATAATCCCTTGTTTTTTTGAAATTTTTTCGAAAAAATATATTCGCGACATCGATGCGGACGGTCATGCAACCTTTGGCACGCCAGAGAACAAAAATTTTTTGGCTGTTTTGTAAGAATCCTTGTTTGATCGACTGCACCAGAAAATGTTATAACGGCACCCCTGGCTCGTGCAAAAATCGACATCTAAAGATTTGGGTCTGATACATTACCTGGTCTGGACTTGTTCAAAAATCTCTGGCCAAAAAAGCAAAAATAAAAAATCGTGAGCGGATCCGAACCCTCGTCAGTATCCTAACAAGCGAGTTGCTTACCACTCGGCCATTCAACTGGTGATTCCATAGTGATGGGAGAGCCTAATCAACCATCCCTCGATGCTAATTTTTCGCATGCAAATCATCATTTTCCGGAAGTGCTGTATCTCTGTCCACAGGTGCATTCAGAAAAATCTGACAAGCGCATTGTGATCGCAATGGTCGATTACCTAGGAGTAGCCGCGAGCGTTTTTCGAAATTCCACCCTGTCCGCGTGAGGTTCCCTTGTTAGTTTTTCTTAGCCCTTAGCTTAATATTGGCTTAGTTTAGGCTCAGGCTTAGCTTAGCCTAGACCTTGGCTTAGCTTAGCCTAAGCCTAGGCTTAGCTTCGGGCGGGGCGAACTATTCTTGCCTTAGCTTAGCTTTTATTAGCTTCGCTGTTTTTGGCTTCGGCTTAGCTCTGTTCAAGATCGATTTAGCTGAGCTTCAGCTTAGCTTAGCTTAGAAGTAGAGCATTGCGCTTGATTAGCCGTGAAAAACCGAAAAAGAAGCCCAAAAATGACAGCGAAAAAAATTTTGCCCCAAACTTGAATAGTACCGGACATTTATCTGATAGTTCATGTGACGCTAATCTACTTTTTCGGGGGCCTTGCAGCCAAACCGGTGCCCGTAGGCGTGCTTTGGCTCAGCTAATGATTTTCAAAACATCGGTTAGTCTTGCGCTTTTATATTTTTATGTAGATTGGCTGTACTAATAAGGAGTGGGTTTTAGGTGAGATCGGATCGAACTCGAAAGTCTGCACAAACCCCATCTTTCAAAAATTGCTCTCAAGGGCCGATTATGCGCATTTTTGGCCGGCGCTTCACAAAATGTAGATTTTGAGACACTATTTCCCGAAAGCCCTTATCGTTCAGCAGTTTTTGAAAGATGGGATTGGTTCGCATCTTGAAAGAGAACCACACCTCTTGCTAAGATCTTTTTTCATCTCCTTTTCTCGATTCCACAATTCCAGCCGACCCCCATTCATCCCCTCTTCGACCCTGCGGGTGTTTTGGGCATGCCGACTCTCGGCTGGTGGTCCCGGCCGGGCGATAGAAAGCGGGCCGGCGAGAAAGAGAGCTAGAGAAATAAAGCGGAGGCGAGCCCTCCCCGGCGGCGCCCGATATTTGCATACGAGTGTTCGGCTGGCACCAGCCGGTACCCTGGCTCGAGACTCTCGCCATGGCTAGCCGTCTGTGTCTCTTATTCTTTAGCGTTGTTTAGAGGGGGGTACCAATTCTCTGGGTCTCTGATGTCTCGAACGTGCGTTGTGTCTGCGTCTAGGGTATCGTAGTGTAGTCTAAAATGTCTTTTACGTCTAGAATCTCCGGATTTTCTTGATCTCTCGGTTATCATGGTGCTATGGGCGGTCTCTAGTATCACGTCGAATCCTCTTCGCGTTTTAGAGTCTCTAGTAAGCTTGGATTTTGTCTAGGATCTAGAATTTCTAGCTGTCTCTCGCCCTGCGGGTTCTTTCTCTCGTTTCTACCCCAAAATTCCCACCGCAGATAGCGCACCGGTCTGCGGCCCCCAGGCGCTTTGCGGGCTTCGCGTTTTGCGAGCTTTCCCCGAGTTTAACACCGAGATTTTTCGCTGGCGGCGATGCGCCTGACCAGGGGTTGGGGTGTGGTGATAAAGGGAGAATGGTGTCAACGACATTTCCAGGGGGAATGGTGGCCCGGAACGGGATGTACCCCCGGAAAAGTGGACTGACTGTTCGCTGAGGTTTCGCGTTTCTCGAATGATAAGGGTGAGAAATGAAAGGGAGCGATTCGTTCGAAAGGTATAAGAAACTGGAGAGCAACTCTGAATATACCTGACACAAATCCCTAAAAAATATTTAGATGGAGAACTGTAAGGCGGTCGAAAATCTAAAGGAAGCAATTGGTGCCAGGAGAACGTCTGCAAGCCCATGGATTTTACATTTACGGAAATCGCGGCGATGCAGCAGTCAGCCATAATCCCGACACTCAAAATACCGGTAATCAAAATACCGGCAGCCAAAATCCCGACAGCCAGAACCCTGTTCTTGACGCCAAGTTTCAATGTTACCTCCGTTTACACAACAGTTTTGCGTGTCGGTATTTTGGCCTGTCGGGATTTTGACCTTCGGGCTAAAGGTTACCGGTATTGTCGCGTGTCGGGATTTTGGCTACCGGAATTTGGCTGTAGAGATTTTGGTAATTGCGTTATGGATGTCGGGATTTTGGCTTGTCGGGATTATGTCTCTCCGGATTGGGAAAGTCTGATTTCGGCTGTCGGGTTTTCCACTCTCGGGAACATGATTGTCGGTATTTTGGCTCCGTTGCGACAAAGAATTCTCATGAATCCTCAGGAATGGCTGCTTCCGTTATAATTGAAAGTTTTTCTTGCAGATACCTTTAATATTTTTCGGTCCCTCACCTATAATATCCACTCACCCTCCCCAACCCCGAATATTTTTCCGATCCCATTTTCCTCCTCCCCTCCCCCCACCAACCCCTCTTATAAGGCCGGATGCCCCAAAAATGGTGGGCTGCGACTGGGGGGAAAGTGGCTCGGCGGGGGTTTGTTCGGTGGAAGGCCGTACTGGGGTGTCTATCGGATCCCTCCGTAGTCGTTCCCCTCCCTCATACCCCGAGGGGGTGCCTCTGCCTCCTCGCGTTGGTTCGTTGGAGATTGTTTTCGGGTGG